TGGGCGTCGCGCCCACCTTGGGCCCATCGCTGGACTCCGGCGTCATATCTTTCAGGGCGCGCGACGCTCTCATCGAAAAGGCAAGGGCTTTCATTGCGTCGAGGCGCAGCGAGGGCAGGCTCGCGCCCAGCGACGCCGGAAATTTGATGGGCCTACTCAACTTTATCGCCAGAGCGTCGCGGCACGGCGCGGGCAGTGCGGGAACGGGGGGCTTTGCGGCAGCGGCAGTGCGCAGATCGGTCGCCTTGGGCCCCGAGCAACTGCCCGGCTCGCGCCCTCGATTTCTTGTCTATATAATTCTGCAAGACATGCCGAGTCGTGTGGCCGAGATTGCGTCGAGAAGCGAGTTTTTGATTCTCGTTGCTTCTGACGCGCGCGTCGACAGTGACGCGTGGCCGACAGGGGGGCATGTGCCGTTGGATTGCTCAGGCGGCTATCGGCAAGCTGGCTTCTGCGTTTTTGAGGGGGTTCTGCTGGGTATGTGGGGCTACTGCGAGGAACGTTTGAGGCAGGGCGGCCAGCCCGTCGCGCTGCGTGAGGGCGCGATGCCGCCCATCATTTACCAGCGCCACGCTAAGCGGCTGGCAAATCGCCGCGTGCTGTATTTTATAGACAATACCAGCTCACTGCATTCGTGCGTCAAGGGCTGCGCAGTGCCGGCTGCGCTGGGTCGGCCCATTGCTTTCGCGAATTTCTTGGCGAGCCGCCGTTCGATCGCCACGCGGTGGGAATTCACGCCTTCGGGGGCCAATGGGTCGGACGGGCTTTCGAAGCAGCTAGGAAGTGACGCGTTCGTGAGGCGACGCCGATTTCCAGCGCAGCGGATCGGCGTGGACAGTCGTATTTGGGCGGGCGGCTTGGAAAGAGCATGGCGCCTCGCCAGCAGGTGGCCCCCGCGCGTGGCTGCGACGCGCCCGAATGCATCGCGATGCTCGGTAAGTGCTCAGCGTTGGGAGGGCGAGGGGGATGTGGGGGTGAGCAGCGTTGGGGGGGGGGGGGGGGGGGAGGGGGGGGGGGGGGGGGGGGGTGGGGGGGGGGGGGGGGGGGGGGGGGGGATCGCCAGAGGGGTGCATCGCCCCTCGGTCGGTCGGCCTGCCGTCAAGGGGATGCAACTCTCCTTGGGGGAGAGCGGCTCCAGCCGCCCCAATGTTGTTCCCTCTGGAACCCCGCTCTCCCTCATTAAAAGCACCTTGCGTTCACTCCAACCACCAAAAACAATGTTTGTCCCTCGGACCCCGTCTAATAGCTAGGGTGGGCGCGTAGATTATGCGAGCGTTTTCGGCCCAGGCAGGCATGGGTGAGCGCAACGTAATGCATGCGCGCGGACACCTTGGCAACGTCGCCCGCCCGTGCAGCTCGGGGCGCAGGGGCGAGGCGAGGGGGGGGGCCTTTCTTCCGCCCGCGCCGAGGGGCTGCGAGGAGGGGGGGGGGGGGGGGGCGACGGGCCGCGGTTGCCGCGCTCACCTTGCGATTCATTCTCCCCCCCCCCCCCCGCCCTGGGTTTGCGCCGAGCAAACTGTGGGGGATCAAGAGGGCAGGCGTAGCGTCGCAGCCTCGAGCGCGACGCGTCGCGCATGAGGGGCGCATCTCCCCTGCGTGGCTGGTTGCGCGTGAGGGGCGCATTTTCCTTCTGTTACAAAGAAGGGGGGATCGGCCAGAGGGCTGCGTCGCCCTTCGGTCGGTCGGCCTCCCGTCAGGGGGATGCACCCCTCTTTGGGGCAGAGCGGCTCCAGCCGCCCCAATGTTGTTCTCTATGGGAACCCGCTCTCTCTCACCTCAAAAAACTTTGCGTTCACCCCAGCCAGCAAAAACAATGTTTGTCCCTCGGACTCCGTCTAATAGCTAAGGTGGGCGCGTAGATTATGCTCGCTTTCTCTTCTCCGCGCAGCGGGCGACTTGCGCGCGTCGCCGGGGCCCTTTCGGGGCGACCAGCGCGCGTCGCGGGGGCTCCGTGCGGTGTCGCTTCCGCAGCGTTGGACGCGGGCGTGCACCGGCAAAGAGGGGTAATCATAACGGGATGGAAGCGGGCGCGATCCACGTGACAGGCGCGCCGACATGGGCGTCGACATTTATGCACGTAGACACGCGCGCGCAGACTCATCCACAATCCGATTAACTCTCTCTCAGTCTTTCGCACACAGACCAATCCTCTTCGCTCGCGTTGTGTGCCGCGCCGCGAATTTCAGTACGCCCCTCACGCGGTTCGTGCCCCCATAGGGAGCGCGGGCGAACATGATATTCATAATTGCGATAATCACAGCTGCATATGGTTGGGTTTTTCGCCTCGCTATCTTCCTTCGTTAAGAATATATATATATATATATATATATATATATATATATATATATATGAAAAATGCGCGTATCTAAAAATGGAGGGCCCGATCGGCTCGTGGAGGGCGCGACTTCGGTGACAAATCGTATTCATTGCGGTTGCGTGTAGAGAGTCGGGCGCTTGCGTCATGCCGATTCGTTCGCAGCAAGTCCCGTGTACTGCGATTGCGCATGTTTCGGCGCGGCGAGTTTTTCAGCACCGCTAACAAAACCGTGCCTCGCGACAAATCGTCGCCCATACACGTGCAGTGGCCGCAACATGCGACACGCTCATCCGCGTCGTTTCGGGGCGTGTTCCTTCGTTTTCGTTGTCGTCCCCCCCCCCCCGTTCCCCCGCATTGGGTCGTCGCGGGGTCCTGTCCCCTCCTCCGTCCCCCCTCTTCCGTCCCCGTTTTTCACGGGCTACTCTCAGGCCGCATTGGGCTTGTCACAGGGTCCAGTTGGATTGTGTTAGGGGCCTCTTGGGGCATTTTTGGGCCGTTTTGGGGCTGTGTGGGACACTTCGGGGCCATCGTGGGCCGTCGTGAGCTCCCCGGGAGACCTGCTGGTGCAGTCTGGGGTCGTGCCCGCCTCCATGGCGGTTTCTTGGGTTTGCCTGCGGATTTGCGCATGTACTGCAGGTGCGGCGGTGACGGCATCATAGTCGCCTTAGGTCTCGGCTGAACAGTTGCGTCGCGTTTCCAAGCGGGGTGGCTTGTTGAGGGCCCCCGGCGGCCACGCTGGGATGTTTGAATTTTGGGTTCCCCCGCTCCAAGAAAACATGGTGGACGTATGGAACCTTCGGGGTCGGGTGCTCAATAAATCCTCCCTGGGGGCCTCGATGGTGCCAAAGCGCGAGACATCTGCCGATCCACGAAATTTAATAAGGAGTTCTCCGGGTCCCAAGTAAGGTCCTTATTTGGGTGCCCGGCGGTCCCACAATTCAGGGCCTTGCTTTGGTCTTCGGCGGTCGCAGGTCGCACAGGATTCCCGCAGGTCCAGCAAATCTTGCAGGCGCCGCAGGCTTCGCAAGTGTGGCAGGTCTCGCAGGCCCCACACGTCCCTTTGGTCCAATGAATCCCCACATTTCTCTCATGTCCCATGAATCCTAAAGGTCCTACAGGTTCGACGTGTCCCACCGCTCCCACAACGCCCACAGGTCCCACAGGCCCCGCAGGTCTCGCAGGTCTCGTTGATCCTGCAGGTCCCTCAGGTCTCACAGGACCCACACGCCCCACAGGTCCCAGTTCCAAGAAATCCCGCAGGCCCCGTATTTCCCACAGGTCCCAGTGATTCCACTGAAGACACATGTCCCACACGTCCCCCAGGTCCCCCAATCCGACAGGCCCACCAGGTCCCACAGGTCCCACAGGTTCCACCCACAGGGCTCACAGGTCCCACAGGTCTCAGGGGCCACACAGGTCCCACGGGTCCAACAGGTCCGATGGGTCCCATCGGTCCACAAGTCCCACGTGTCGCGCAAGTCTTGCAGGTCGCACAGGTCCCACAGGTCCCACAGGCCCCACAGGCCCCACAGGCCTCACAAGTTTCTCATGTCGCACAGGCCCCACAGGTCCCGCATTTTCCACAGACCCCACAAATCCCACAGGTCTCGCAGGTCTCTTCGGTCCCGCAGGTCCCACAAGTCGAGGTCCCACAGGTCACACAGCTCCAACAGGGCTTGTTGGTCCCAGAGGTCCGACAAGTCCCAGAGGTCCTACAGGCCCCAGAGGGCTCGCGGGTCTCGTGAGTCCCGCATGTCCTGCAGGTCCCACATGTCCCGCATGTCCCGCATGTCCCACAGGCACCACATTTTTCACAGCTCCGACTGGTCTAGCAGGCCTCGATGGTTCCACATGTCCTGCTGTTTCCACAGGTCTCTCATGTCACCTTTGCTGCTATCAGGGTGCTTTGCTAGGGTAAGTTTTGGAGTACTGGTCGCACGTAATTGCTTGAGCTGCGCGCAGTGCCGAATGGGCCATGAGCGCAAGTGGGAAACGCTGCCCCACAAATGCGGAATTTCGCCCGCCCTGGATTTTTCATGTGAAGTTGCGGAGGCGGTGGTTTCCATCGTGGGCAAAACAGCGGTCTGTGTTGGCGCGGCCCGTCAGCCGCTTTTCTTTGTGAGCGACGCCTTGACAGCACACGAAGCACATCGCAACATGCCCTCGATCAAGCTGCAACCTCGCCGTCCAAGTGCTCACTCTGGGCCGTCGCGCGGCGCTGGGCGGGCGGGCTGCTCCTGGGGGCGCGGCATCGGCAGCCCCACGCAATTTATCCACGCCCCCGGCGATGTCACACATCTCCCTCCTCCTCCTCCTCGTCCCTTCTCGTCGTCGTTGTCCTCCTCCTTGCACTTCTCCTTTTTCCTTCTCCTTCCCCATTCCTTCCCCGCCCCTCCGCGTCTCCCGCTCCTCTCCTGCCCCCTCCCCCTCCCTTCCCATCCTCCTTCGGGCGGGGAGACAGCTACCGTGGGGTGCAAATACTCCTCCTCCTCCTCCTACTCCTTCTTCTCCTCCTCCTCCTCCTCCTCCTCCTCCCCGTCCGCGCTCTCCTGTGCCTCCTCTTTCCTCTCCGCCTCCTCGCCTCCTCCTCCCCCCTTCCCCCCACCTGCCCCCACCCTCTCCGCATCCCCCCCTCCTCCTCCCCCTCGTGACGGCCCCCGGGCGCCCGCGGGACCCCGCGCAGGTTCACCTGCTGGAGGATGTACGAGCGGCAGCCGACCGGCATCGGGCCCGAGCGCGTCAAGAGGCCGGCGCGCCGCGCGGCCGCGGTGGAGCGCCCGGCGGCGGAGGAGGCGGAGGGCCCACTCCCCTTCCCCCTCCTCCTCGTCCTCCTCCTCCTCCTCCTCCTCCTCCTCCTCCTCCTCCTCCTCCTCCTCCTCCCCCTCCTCCTCCTCCTCCGCCTCCTCCTCCTCCTCCTCTTCCTCCTCCTCCGCCTCCTCCTCCTCCTCCTCCTCCTCCTCCGCCTCCTCCTCCTCCTCCTTCAGGGGGAGGGGGAGGAAAGCGGCTGGAGGACTCGGGAGGAGGGAGGACGGGGAGGAGGGAGACGGGAGCAGGGCAAGGACGCTGCTGCTGCTGATGACGATGATGATGATGATGACGATGATGATGATGATGATGATACTGATGATGATGATGATGATGATGATGATGATGATGATGAGTCATGTTGGTGATGGTGATGGTGATGGTGATGGTGATGATGATGATGATGAACATGATTTTGATGCTGATGTTGATGATGATGATGATGGTGGTGGTGGTGGTGGTTGTGCTGATGGTGATGGTGATGGTGATGGTTGTGGTGATGATGCTGATGTTGATGATGCTGATGCTAATGTTCATGGTGGGTGTGCTGACGGTGATGGTGTTGGTAATGGTAATGCTGATGCTGATGATGGTGCTGGTGATGATGATGATGATGATGATGATGATGATGATGCTGATGGTGCCAATGTTGACAATGATGATGGTTATGATGGCTGTGCTGATGATGATAATGATGATGATGATGATGATGATGATGATGATGATGGTGGTCATGGTGGTTATGGTGATGGTATTGGTGATGGTTTTGGTGATGCTGGTGGTAGTGATGATGATGTTGCTGCTGTTGTTGCTGATGATGATACCGGTGATCCTGATCATGCTTGTGATGATGATGATGATGATGATGATGATGATGATGATCATGGTGATGGTGGTGGTGATGGTGATGATGATGATGATGACGATGATGATGATGATGATGATGATGATGAGGAAGATGATGAGGAGGATGAGGTGAATGATGATGGTGATGATGATGATCATGGTGATTATGGTGATTTTGGTGATCGTGCTGCTTCTGGTGATTTTGATGAGGAAGATGATGCTGAGTATGATGCTGATGATGATGACGGTGCTGCTGATGCTGATGATGATGATGATGATGATGATGATGATGATGATGAATGATCCTCTGAATGTCTACCTGCAATCAACGTCTGCGTGGGCACATTCGGGAGCAGGCGGGAGCCCGGCAAGGACGCTGCTGCTGCTGCTGATGATGATCACGATGCTGATGATGATGATGATGATGATGATGATGATGAGGATGATGATGATGATGATGATGATGATGATGATGATGGTTATGCTGATGATCATTATCGGTGTGATGGTGGTGGTGATGGCGATGATGATGATGATGCTGCTGCTGATGATGATGATGATGCTGATGATGATGATATGCTGGTGAGGCTTATGCGGATGATGATGATGAGGATGAGGATGAGGGTGATGATGGGGAAGTTGATGAGGATGAGGATGATGCTGATGCTGTTGATGATGGTGGTGGTGGTTTTGCTCACGGTTATGGTGATGGTGAGGGTTATGGTCATGATGTTGCTTCTGATGATGTTTGATGGAAGTTGTGGTTACGGTGATGATGTTGGTGATATTATTGGTGATGATGCTGATGATGATGATCATGTTGATGCTGATGCTGATGATGATGAGGATAATGCTATGATGATGCTGATGGTGATGGTGGTGTGATGATGATGATGGTGGTCATGGTGGTTGTGGTGATGGTGTTGGTGATTGTGATGGTGATGCTTGTGGTGGTGATGATGATGTTGATGCTGTCGTTGCTGATGATGGAGATACTGATGGTACTGATGATTGTGGTGGTGATGATGATCATGGTGATGGTGGTGGTGGTAATTTTGTTGACTATGATGATGCTGACGATGATGAATCGGTGACTTACGATGGTGATGATAGTGATCATGGTGGATGTGGTATTTTTCTGCTGCTGCCAACAATCATGATGCCGAGAATGATGCTGATGATGCTGATGATGATGGTGCTGCTGATGATGATGGTGACGATCACGATCACGATGCTAATGCTGATGATGCGGATGATGATGATGATGCTGCTGATGATGATGATGGTGGTGGTGTTGGTGGTGGTGATGTTGATGATTGTCATGGTTGTTGTGGTGATTGTATTGGTGATCGTGATGGTGATGCTGGTGGTGGTGATGATGACGTTGCTGCTGTTGATGCTGATGATATGATACGGGTGGTACTTATGATGATGGTGATCATGATGCTGATCATGGTGATGGTGGTGCTTGTGATAATGTTGACGATGATGCTGCTGATGATGATGTGATGATGATCGGGTAAATTCTGACGGTGAGGATGCTGATCATGGTGTGTGTGGCGATTGTGGTGCTGCTGTTGACGATTGTGATAATGAAGACGATGATGCTGCTGATGATGCTGATGCTGATGGTGTCGCTGATGATGATGACGATGACGATCACGATGATGATGGTGATGATGATGATGACGATTACGATGATGATGATGCTGATGATGATGACGATTACGATGACGATGACGATGCTGATGATGAGGATGAGGAAGAGGACGAGGATTCGTAAGATGATGAAGATGCTGATGCTGATGATGATGACGATGATGGTGACGATCACGATGATGATAAATACTATGATGATGCTGATGATGATGGTGAAAATGATGATGATGATGATGATGATGATGATGATGATGATGATGATGATGCTGATGATGCTGATGATGATGATGATCATGATGATAATGACGATGTTGATGACGATGATGGGATGATGATAACGAGGATGATGATGATGGTGGTGATGATGATGCTGATGATCATGCTGATGCTGATGGTTATGTTGATGATGATGACTTTTCCCGTGAACGTCTCAATGCAATCAACCTGCGCGTGGGCACAGGCGGGTAGCATGGACCTCGCAGTGCATCGCGGCAAGAGTTGCTGCACCACGCCGCCTGCCGCAGCATCTGCGAAGATAGGGGCGACCCGTCCCAGGCACTGCTGGTCTGCAGGAACCTACGCCATGATGGACCGTGGACGCCATCCCCCAAAGGTGAGAAGTCGCCTGCGTTGGAGCCGCCTGCGTAGGAGCCGCCGCACGTGGGAGCCGCCTGCGCGGGAGCCGCCTGCGCCGGAGCCGCCACGTAGGAACGTCGCCAGTGGGCCCATGAGAGCCGCCGCTTAGGACACGCTTGCGTAGGAACCGCGTGCGTAGGAACCGCCGTGTCAGAGCCACCGCTGGCGGGAGCTGCTCGGGGGAGCCACCGCGTATGGGCCGCTGGCCTAGGAGCCGCCGACAGTGGGCGGGCAACTTGGAGCTGTCAGCGCCAGGCGCCGCCAGTGGGGGCTGCCTGCGTAAGAGCCGCCGCCAGAAGGTGCCGCCGCCAATGGGGAGGGCCCGCGGGGGCCGCACCGTCAGCGGGAGAGCCCGTGTCAACCGCCTGCGTAGGCTCCGCCGCTGGTCGAAGCCGCCTGCGTAGAAAACCGCCGCAAGGGGGAACCGCGTACGTCGGAACACCTGTGTAGAAAATGCCGCCAGGGGGAAGGGTTACGTATGGGAACTGCCATCGTGGCAGGAACCGCCGGTTGGAGGGCCAGTGGGAGTCGCCAGCTGGAACCGACTGCGTAGGAAACCGCCTGTGTAGGAGCCGCCGCACGTCGGAACCGCCCGTGGGAACCGCGTGAGCAGGAGCGCCAGCGTTAGAGCCGTCGAAGGGCCAGCTGGAACCGCATGCGTAGGGTCGCCGCCATATGGGCCTGCCCGCGTAGGAGCAGCCGCAAGTGGTAGCTGTCAGTAGACCTGCCAGAGGTAGCCGCCTCCAGTGGGAACCGCCGTCAGAAGCTGCCAGTGGGAGCCGCCGCCAGTAGCCGCCTTGTGGGACCGCTGCCAGTCTGGGACTGCCCGTGCCGGGACTAGGAGCCACCGCGAGTGGGAGCCTGACGTTGAGCACCACTCTAGGTAGAAGAACGCCACAAGGGAGGTGTTGCGACGCTGCCGTTCCAGAGGTGGCTTTTCCACCCACTATCATCACCCGAGTTGAATTCGTGGACAAAAGAAGACAACAGAGTGGCACCATCTGGATAGGCCGAGCCACCGACAGCTTGGCGCTGATTCCGCCAGTGCACGAGGGACACCTGGAATCCCAGGGGGATGTAAGGGTCGGTGGGGATCCGATCTTACTGGAGTTCAGCAGTAGCATGGACCTCGCTATCAAACGCAATCACGTGCGGCAAGTGTTGCTGCACCCCGTCGCGTGCTGCAGCGCCCGCGGGTGAGACAGGGGCTACCTGACCCAGGCGTTACAGGGCCCGGAGAACATGACGCGGTGATGATGATTCTGATGATGACGACGACGACGACGACGACGACGACGACGACGATGCTGATGCTGATGCTGATGCTGATGATGATGATGATGATGATGATGATGATGATGATGCTGATGATGCTGAAAGTGATGATTAAGCTGAGGGGGATTAGGATGATGTTGCTGCTGATGATGCTGATGAGGATGATAATGATAATGGAAAGGCTGACGATGATGGTGATGATGATGACCATGATGATTGATGGTGATGGTAATGATGACGATGCTGATGATGATGATGCTGCTGATGATGATGCTGATGATGATGATGACAATGATGAGGGTGTTTGGGTGGGTAATGATGAGGGTTGTCATGGTTCATAGTGAGATTGATGATAATGTTGGCCATGGTGGCGTTGATGAACAAGCTGTTGATCGTGATGGAATGTTGTGGGTTATGGTGGTGTTGGTAGCGATGATCGTGGTGGTGATGACGTTGACTTCGATCACGATGCGTGTGTTGATGGTGGTGGCCATGAGGCTGGTGATGGGGGCGACGCTGATGATGGTGATGATGATGATGATGATGATGATGATGATGGTGATGATGGTGATACTGATGATGCTGATGATCAGGGCGTTGTTGGCGTTGATGATGCGGGTTATGATGCCGGTGGTAACGGTGATGATGAGGAGTGTGATGATTGTGACGATGATGGTGCCGATTGTAATGTTGGTGGTGACGTGGAGGTTGCTGCTGACGTCGACGAGCTACTTCTGCTGATGCGGATTCGGATGATGAGGCAAGTAGCAGATGACGATAATGATGCGGGTGAGGAAGCGATACTGATGTTGAGGAGAGCCTTTGCGGCAGGGGTCTGTTCGACCTGAGCGCCACGGACACCCGCGAATACATCCTGCGCCCCGAGGCCCCCCCCCACCCTGCAGCGGATATGCAAGGGGAGGGTTGGCTTCCACGGTGTTCGGCGGCCTCCACGGAGCGGTCGGAGGCGGAGAAGGACGACCAAGATGAAGCCGAAGACGACGACGGCGACGGCGACGGCGACGGCGACGGTGACGGCGACGGCGACAGCGACGGCGACGACGCCGATGGTGGATGTGGCGCGATTGGAAATGTTGGGGGTGACGGGCGCGGTGGGTGGGAGGGACGAGAGAGAGAGAGAAAGAGAACATAACAAAGGATCTATATATACAGAGAGAGAGAGAGAGAGAGAGAGAGAGAGAGAGAGAGAGAAAGAGAGAGAGAGAGAGAGCGAGAGAGATACGGAGAGAGAGAGAGAGAGAGAGAGGGATAGAGAGAGAGAGAGAGAAAGAGAGCAAAACGAGAGAGAGAGAGAGGACGAGAGAGATAGAATAAGGACGGGTTGGATGGAAGATACTACGGACGCGAAGAGGGAGGGAGAGGTGCTAAAAGCGCGAAGCGGGGTTTGGGAGAAACAATTTCCCGGAGGTGGACACCGTCCACCTCCGGAGAACGGCCCCGGAGGTGGATTTGGCCACCTCCGGGGAACGGCCCCGGAGGTGGATTTGGCCACCTCCGGCGGGTGGGCGCTTTTTTTCTGGTGCGTGTTTTTGAATTTCGATGTTCAGATTTCCTTGGATTGCGAATTTTTAGGATGTCAATTTAAATTGTTATGATGTCAATTTTGAAAAATCCTTGAACACATTTGTTCCGAAAAATTGTTTTTCGGTTTTTCAATTTTTATTTTGCTGGTGCGGTTCTTTGAATTTACCAGCATTTTAGAGCGTCGTTTTTTTTGGGGGGTGCTTCGAAATGTAAACAACATCAGGTCGTTTTGCGAATGCGTTTCTGTTTTTGGACAGGCTGAGAAGGGAAAGCAGCAGTAGCAAGGTGATATTCTAGGCGCCCAGACGCGAAATGTCGGGACACTTGGGAACGAGGCGGCGAGCAACGGGAGGAGATATGCGGAGGAGGAAGAGGAGGAAGGAGGAGGGGAGGAGGAGCACGGACATCTTGCACCCGACAAAATCTTGGTCGTGAGAACGCCGGCTGTGTTCAGGGGCCTCTTTGGACATGGCGTCTCAGAGTAAATTGTGAGGAGGTGTATCGAGCGAGAGCGAAGACGGCGACGAGGGCGGCGACGACGACGTTTGTTGTCGTCGCCGCAGTTGCTCGAGCGACCACTGTTATGGACCCCATTGCTCTGCGATCGTACACTCTACGGCTAGCTCAAGCATGTCGCCTGGTGGACGGCGACGTCGTCTTTGACCGAAAGGAGCGGGCCCCGGGACAACCCCTGCACACAATGGATAGGTTCCCAGGTTCCCAGGCTCCCCCAGTGTCACGGCCCAGTGCCCTGGGGCCGACGGGGGGGAGGGGGGCAGGAGATGCTGGGTCGCGATCCCGACCCCGAGGAGTTGGTCGGCATTATCGGCGGCAAGCGCTCGCAGAGGGCGGAGGTGGATGCATGGTGCAGGCATCTTGCGTCGTCGTCGCGCCTCCCGCCTCCTCCTTCTCCTCTGCCACCGCCTCCTCCTCCTCCTTCTCCTCTTCCTTCTCCTACCTCCCTCTTTTCTCTCTCTTCTTCCTCTCCTGGTCCTTTCCCTTCTCCTCCTCCTGCCCCTCTTCCTCGCACCCCCCGCCCTGCCCCCTCGCGAAGGCAATGCGGCGTCGACGACGGCCTCGTCCCCGTCCGGATGGTCCCCGAGTTCTTCGAGGCCCGGCGAGCCCCGGGCTTCAGGGCTTGGAGGGCCGTGGCCGCGGCAGTCGAGGCGCAGACGAGGAGCAGCGCAGACGAGGGCCGACGACGATTCAGACGTTGGGCCCGCGGCGGGGCCGTCGTCGCCTCGGCTGGACGCAGCGCGGAAAACTGGAGTTCCTCAAGAAGACTTTCCAGGATGAAACTGAATTGGGGGGGGAGTCGAGGAAGAGAAGGAGACGGGGTGCAGCAACGACGGGAACGAGAAGTGGGAGAAGGAGGAAGAAGACTGAGAAGGAGAAGGAGGAAGAGGAGGAAGTTAGATAAGGAGGAAGGGGAGGAGGAGGGAGAGGAGGAGAAGGAGGAGTGAGAGGAGGAGGAGGAGGAGGAGGAGGAGAAGGAGGAGGAGGAGGAAGAGGAGGAGGACGAGGA